TATATATATAAAGGTCCTAATGAAATAATAAGTTGCTAATCACTGAAAGTGTGGTTCTAATTACACGTGTCGTTTGGTTCTCTGTGTTTCTAATCAGATGACGGGTGAAGAGGGAGGCAAAGATGCTGTTTTATTTTACCCGCTCTAATCATCGCCAGGGTTATTATTGTTCATAGAAATTATGATTGCTTGTGTTTATTTAAGAAAAAAATCAAAATAATTTTATATTCCACCTGTCAGGGCCTTAAAAGCCTGTGTGTTTTCTGCAGGGGAAGGAGACGACAGAGGACGAGGATGAAGTCGCTGTGGGGATGGACAAAGGCTTCATGGATGAATTCTTTGAACAGGTTCGTGTCGCAGAAACTTCCTTCTGAGCTGACGACAAGCTGAGATCACGTGGATCTTTGTTTCTTTTGCAAAATAATCTCACTTGTGATTGTTTACGTTTTCTTCTCCACAGYTGAATGGGTAAATAAAGTGATGCATTTATCTGTACAAACGGCAGAAACGCAAACTGACAGCTGCTTTCAGACGGAATCGTCCGTTTAGTTGCAGCTGCAGTCAGGATCTCTGGAGAAAAGGAGGCCTGCTGTGAGTCATCGGTCAGACCGAAACACGCTGTCTCTACTTTCTGACGTCTTTCTGCAGCTGGAAAGCTTTTCTAATGGACTGTATCTCCCTCAGCGAGATGCAAACAAACAAAAGTGCAATTATTCAGACTTGGTAGGGCTTTTACTAAGCCGTTCATTCCCGATCAATTATCTTTTTCTTATATTTTATTTCTCAACACGTCCTTTGGTGTAAATCGCTTGTTTACCTCGAATGACCTTTAGTTGCTGTTTCTGCTTTAAAGAGAGGGATCSTCTGAGGTTGAACGGCTTCTAACTTCATCTGTGTGATAAAGAACTGAGAAGAAACTTTTATGAGTTTTAAAACAGACAACATGAAGGGAGCTGGACACATTTCAGCTTAGCTACAAGCATCTGTGCAGATATTTAATGAGGAYCARTTATTWAAAAACTCTCATATTATGTGGGCTTTAATGACTATTTTAATCTTATCTGTTAAAGCGAACTTATGTAAAAATCCARTTTTTCAGGTGTTAAAAGCATTTGTTGTGTACTTAGAGTCTCTAGGAGTGCAGAAAAGTTRACTCATGTTTCTCCCGRTGCTGCATAGACATCTTTATAATCTGTTTGGATCATACTTTTCAACCTGTTCAGTTTTCTCTATTCCGTTTTTTTTTTAGCAATAACTGGGTGGGAAGTGCCTTATTTACATTTAAAGAGACAGCGTCAAAACGAGTTGCTCTCAGACACACCTCAGAAAAAGGGGTGAAAGAGGGGAGTGGAGCTACGATAACCAGGAATTCTGACAAATGAATTTCAGTTCCGCTTTCTGCAGAMCACAAATGATTGATTTAAATGTAAAAAGGAATGATTCAAAAGCAGGATACAGTATGTCCACTTTAAAAAGAAAAGTGTTGTTTCGGTCTGTYGTGGTGAAGCTTACCTGAGCTAACCCTCACCTGTGCTGATGTGAWATGGATCATGACTGAAAGAACGAGAAGTTTTAACCCAAATCAGCGACCCATCTGAGTTTGCAGCTTTCTGGGGATTCATCTGTTTTTACTGCAGGTTCTCTAACTCGCAGCAGTCTGTGGAACAACAAGATCAGGTTTAATTGTGACTTGTGTGTCCTGGTTCAGAGTGAGGACTCAGATCTTTAACCTGAGTGAGTCAGTGACTGACCAGCTTTGTAATGATGTCGTTTTTACTCCAAGAAACAAAACGCTTGAATCTACAGGGTGAATCAAAAGTCTCAGGACGTTTTTCAGAAACAAAAGGGAAAATGAAATATCTGATATTTCAGCTCTGTGTTAAGCATGATGAACATATCAAATAACCGCATCACAGGCAACGTTCCCAGTTTTTGTTGCCAATTTCTGTGTTAATTTTTGAACTATATGAGATGTTTCAAATCTGATTGTGCCAATCGATTTTTGAGACAATTCAGATCTTCTTTGATATGTTACATCACCTTCTCATTAGAAAAACTGGTTTTTTATCCAATATGTTGGGGTTTAAAGATGTTCTGGAAATGGCCTAAAAGATAGTTGCTGGGGTATTCAGATATTTCTTTTTGCCTTTCATTCCTGAAATAAAAGGGTGTCCTGAGTCTTTTGACTCACCATGTGCTTGCATTTGTAGGGTTATTTCTGTTCAGAAGGTACCTCTTGCCTCAAACTGTCAGATTAAGAAAATTCTTCGTCTTTTACCTACAAACCCAGGAGCCAGGGAGAAAGAGAAATCACACACACGACAGGCCCTGGAGCAGTGTGGTTATCCTGACTGGGCTTTCCTGAAAGCAGACAGGAAACACAGACAGGATTCCATGCAACCAACCTTCAGGTGAAAATGAAGACCCCAAACCCAGACCCAAACCAGTGGTTACTGCGTAGGTTGCGGGTGTTTCGGAGAAACTGAAATG